TCTGGCCAGGAGCTGCCAGATGAGTGGCGGGGTGGTGTACCAGATGTGGGCGACAAGTGGTTTTCTGGTCATCCTGATACCTCGCCGAAGGTCAATCTGCGGAATGAGCAGGATGAAGTGGAGCAACAGCGCATCACCAACATCTTTGGGTCTATCAAAGGGAACGAGGATTCGCTCAGGAAGATCATTGTTGGCAACCACCGCGATTCCTGGTGTTTTGGTGCTGCAGACCCTGGATCTGGTACAGCCGTCATGCTTGAAGTCGCCCGAGTGCTAGGAGAGTTGCGAGCGCAAGGCTGGCGTCCCCTGCGTACCATTGAATTCGCCTCGTGGGATGCCGGAGAGTACAACCGAATAGGCTCAACCGAGCACGTCGAAGCCAATGTTGACTCTCTTCGCGAGTCCGCTATTGCTTATTTGAACGTAGATGTTGGCATAACCGGTGATACGCTCTGGGCAAATGGCTCCCCCATGTTCAGACATGCCTGGCATCGTGTGCTCGACCGCCTCAGCGACCCGCACACCAACAAGACTCTCAAAGAACTATGGGAAACCACCGACTCGAAAATAGGCAACCTGAACGCTGCATCCGATCACATCCCCTTCCAGTCTATTGCAGGAACCTCGTCCATTGACTTTGGCTTCACAAGCTCTATCGACGGAGAACCCCACGGCGCTCCCAACCCCATGGCACACAGCTGCTTCGAGACCTTATCCTGGATGAAAAAATACATTGATCCCTCGTTCCAATACCACGCGCTGCTCGCACAGATATGGGTCCTCCTCATCCTCGAACTATCCCAAGAGCCCATTCTCCCCATGAAAATCGACGAATACGCACAGTCCCTGCAAGAAGAAGGACAACACCTCCTCGACTGGACCGAATCCACCGCAAAAGACGGCTACGACATTGAGATTTTCCAACCGCTAGTGGACAGTCTGAGCATGTTCAAGAAGAAGGCAGAGGAATTTCACAAGTGGGAGAGTTTCTGGTACAATCAGGTTTATGCGACCGGGGGGTTCGAAACGACTGGGGTCACGGCGCAGAGGGTGGCGCATAATGGCAAGATTGCGAGGTTTGAGAGCGATTTGTTGGATTTGCCGCTGGAGGCTGAGGATAAGAGTGCTCACGGTGTAAGTGTTTTTCATCATGTTTTGCGCTTGTTCGTGTGTGGTTTGAAGAGGTGTGGTGCTAACGACGGCCAGTTGCCCAACCGCGAACAGTATAAACATGCCATCTTCGCTCCAGACGTAGACAATGGGTTGAAGACGTCAGTCTTTCCCTTTGCGAGAGACGCGATTGAGAAGAAGGATTGGGTCTTGGCAGCGAGCATGATCAAGAAGACTGCTGAGATATTGAACCGGGCGGGGGACAGACTGGGGCCTGGATAGTATTGTGCGTTGCTGTGCTATGTATAGGAAAGTCGAATATCATGTGCATATCTGGGCGTTTTGGAGAAGAAGACGCGTCAAGCAGTCTGGGATATATTCGTATTTTACAAAGTTTTCTGTGGCCAATAGGCTTTATATATGCATTGTTGGGTTCCTGCTTGACGTTGCGCAGTCACTCTTCAATCGCATAGCGCGTCCCAATTCTTTGCGCGCACTACTGTCGACTCTGGCATGGCTTTGCTAGGCGCTGATGGTACTCTAGTAGCTCTGAATACTTATATTCAGGTGTACGTCTAGTGGCCAGAGGCCCTCTCGATACGGCACAGGGTCTGACTACAAAGTGAGATATGCTCGACGCTGCAAATGCAAGGAGAAGTTTGTGCGTCCGCGTCGCTGGACGTGGTTGATATTGATTTGGATACACAATACAACATCATTGTGGTTGCTGCGGAGATGGGGTGTCAACAGTCACACAATGAAAAAAGCGTGCCAGGAGAGCAGACAAGGACTTGTGTTGCAGAGGCGCTGAGATGGCATTACTCGCCGTTGCTCCGGTGTTGGGATGGAGGCAGTGTTGCGCGGCTGCTGTCTGCTGAGCGCCCAAGCGAGGTGCAGTGCAGTCCCTGCGCATCAGTCGGGTGCAGTGTGGAGCAAGACGTGTGCCCTGCATACCGAATGCGCCGACCGCGCTGCGAGATAACACGGCAGGCTGGCTGGCGTCCCGGGGACGGAGACGGGTGGTACTTGCAAAGGAAGGATAAATTCTGGCCGCACAGGTACAAAGAAGCGCACATCATGTTCATGTAGCACCAGGTGCTACGGTGTCCGGCATCGGTGTTCAGCTATGCAGCACTGTCGCCGCAAACAGGCTCAAGCTCGGCGGTCTGACATCTGGAAGCAAGCCCACTGTGCAGTGTGCAGTGTGCAGGGCTGTTGGAAGCTGCAATGCCAGAATAATGCGGAGCGGACAGGAGACACGACGGGCGTGGTGCTGACGGTCGGGCCCAGGGGCGCGCGACTTTGGGGCTGCAGCTTCGCCAGCATGTTGCAAGGCGCCGCCGTTGGGAGGGGGGGGGAGCACATCAGCCAGACGCGCTATGAATTAAGATAACGTCAAGGGCCGCCTTCTGCGCAGCTAGCGAATGACAGACCATGGCCATCTGCGGGCAATCTAACCAAACGTGAAACCCACCAGCGAAGGGCAGAGGGCACCTGGGCACGTCGGTGCCGGGCTGGCAGCGGCGCCTCGAGCGTGAGTGAATCTAGCAGAGAGCGCTGGGGCAGTGCAGAGTGCAGCCCAGTAGGTGCTGTGCAGGTACTGTGCAGGTGCCTCTGGAAGGTAGAGTACGGCTGGAGCCAGCCAGCCAGCTGCACAGCAAGCGAGAGGACAAAGGACCCGAGATGCATGGCACAGCACAATGCAAGAACAGGCCAGCGCGGAATGGCGTCGACGAGGCGAGGGTGAGGGAGGCGGCGGTGGTGGTGGTGGCAGGTGTCCAAGAAAGGAGGGGTTCCCAGGCTGGTCCGCAGGCCGGTGCATTGCGCATTCAAAACAAGGAGCTCTGGCCCCCGGCACGTGACGCGGCCGCATTTTACGGTAGGGACGGCCTGCCCTCACACTGCGAAGTGCCAGCCAGCTCTCCTCCCATACAAATCTCTACCAAATACACAATCCTCACCCAAAACGCGTTTGGTAAGTTCCGCCTGCATATCACGCACTCGCTATATCCCCAGCACCACTTTCTGCAACCACACCCTTTTTCCACGCGTTTTCCCGCTCCAATTCGCCCACCAGAGCTGCTTCCTGCCTTCTTTCCTGCATCAGCTAGGCCTCGTCGCGTTTCCACTCGTGTTCATCGCCGTCGCCAGCACCTGCTCGCACGCGCATACTGACCGCAAAACAGACCTCAGTCAACGAATCCAACTCCTTCGGTTTCATAGACTTCGGTGAGTACCTGTACCTTCCTTGCTCGCAAAATCGCGCATCATCGCGTCGTGGTGTGGTGTTTTGCGCGCGAGGTGACGCGCGCAACCCAGCGCTGCAGCAAGCACCCCAGCACTGCACCCACTCACATCACCCAACATCAAGCCGCGCACGACTCCAGCAGTAGTGACGTCGATTGCACGCTTGAATGATCCAAGCCATTTCGCCATTTATTACTCACCCGTCGTTTGGGCCGCAACCGCTGACCAAGCACCACAGATAGTCTAACCATCCACCACCATGCCTAAGGAGAAGACCACCCGTAAGGCCGCTGCCAAGTCCAAGGCCGATGGCGGCAAGAAGAAGAAGGGTCAGTCGATCGCATGTGCTTGATTTCGCAGACTAACGTGCATCAGACCCCAACGCCCCCAAGCGTGGTCTCTCTGCCTACATGTTCTTCGCCAACGAGCAGCGCGAGAAGGTCCGCGAGGACAACCCGGGCATCAAGTTCGGTAAGTTCTCGCCATTCCAGAGTCCATGGCCCGTCTTCTGACTATTCGCAGGTGAGGTCGGCAAGGTCCTCGGTGAGAAGTGGAAGGCTCTCAACGAGAAGCAGCGCACTCCTTACGAGGCCAAGGCTGCGGCTGACAAGAAGCGCTACGAGGAGGAGAAGGCTGCTTACGCCGTAAGTCTTGTAAGAACTTCCCCGCTCTCCTTCGCAACCCGACTAACGAAACCAGGCTGGCGAAGAGGAGGAAGAGGAGTCTGAGTAGACATACCATGGACTTGATGCTCTCTCTATTGTCATGCACGTTTTCAGCATGAACACGTACAGTCGGCTTCCACGGTGTCACGGGCGGCTTCGGCCTTCAGGCCTCGCTTTTCCTTTGTGATCTTGCCTTGTAATGGGTCTTTACGGAGGCCGGCTAGCAAAATCTGTGGTTCATTTCGGTCGGCCGCAGTCCAGCTCGCGCTATGCGGCCATGATGTTTGGCGTCCTACCCGGCGCGGAAGACATCACGAAACTCATGACCAAGTCTATGTATACTAGTCGATAGCGATATGGCAAATTCTTGCTTTCAGCTTGATTGCTTTGATGGTGATCTTGGCGTTGTTGACTACGATTGACTACCTAGGTACGGTTGACGTTGTGATGTCCGTGTCAGCGTATCCGTGCTCATGCCTTCGTACTTTGGATCCCAGCGCGACCTCAATTTACTACAGCTATCTAGGACCCGCATAAATGAGTTCGAATTCACTGAATACTGCATCTTTTCACAGTACAAATGTAGTTTGTACAGATATTTGAACGAATCTACCATGGTGACCATGAAATGGCGAAATTGGCTATTCCTTACTCTTGTCAGACGTTTCGCATAGTGAAGACCATTGCGCAAATATTGAACTTTCTAATGTCATTTACACAAACCAACGGCTAGGCTATCCTGCTCTCATACCATACGCCCATATCCTCCACTCTCCCCCAAGTCTACACACAAGTGCCGTTTTCTACCCACTACAACAAAAGACCGTCTGCCGCGACATCGACGAACCACATACACCTCTCCTCCCACGCAAACAATTCATCTCCCTCGCAACGCCATCCAACCCGCATGCACAGCTAGACCACTTATATCTAAGCAACGTCTCACCATCTCGCCATCGACTCAGAAGTCACACTGTAGCGATGTTAGCCCAGTGGTTAGGGTATCGCCTTCCCAACGTTCACCATGACGAAGAGAGGCGGGGGTCGGGGGTTCAAGTCCCTCACATCGCAAGCTGAAGATTTTTTTTGCTGTTGTATATCTCTTCTAGGGAACTTCTTGCAGGAAGGGGGGATGTCGCGTTGCCAAAGTTTTATCGGAGCAGGATTGAGGCGGGGCATTTCAGGCAAAGCAGGGGATAATAAATCAGATTTCGATTTCGGGAGCGTTTGGGCTTGTAGGTATGAATCGCTTTCAATGAGATGTCGCAAATTCGCCCCAAAGTCGTACAAGTTGTGTGAGGGAGACCGACGCATATTAACAGGTATCTTCTTTCTGTTCTGGGCTGGAAGCTTAACGAAGATCTGTGAGCTAAACACCGATACGCAGCTATGGTCCCTATGTACACCCATGGTATCATTCTCTCTGCAACACCACCATCAAGCCCATCATCCCCAGCATGACCTGCTTCAGCCACGGGTGCTCGCTCAACAATATTGTGACATATCCAACAAAGGGTATGAAGCCAACTACGCTACCAATAACGTCCTCTTTGCGGTTCAGGAATGATTGGCCGGTCGCATAAAGCTCTGTGTCGTCTGCGATGTTGTTGTCGCCCTTTGTGAGCAGGCGGAGGGGGGTTTTGCTGTCCAATCCATTAGCATATGCTCCTGAAAACCGCAGCATCTCACTCCCTCTCTCTCGTGGCCCCCTCATCCCTGTAAGACGCGTCACTCAGATATCGAAGTAAAGGAACTCACCCTCCACCATATCTCCGGACCACCCGGTGCACAATTGGAATATCCTTGCCCTTCACATTGTATACCACAATCTCACCCACTTGTGTATCCATTCCTCGGTTCCACAGGAACAGCAAGTCTCCTCGTTGAAACGCAGGCTCCATGGATCCGGAGAGTACGACGACAATGGGTGATGGTGAGTCTGATACAACGGAGAGACCCTTCCACATCATGAAGGCTGTGGAGAGGACGAGCGCGAAGTTGAGGACTTGGGCAGCGAGTTGCCGTGGCTGCATCGCGCTGAGGCCAAGCATAGTCGCGGTTGTGAGAGGGCGTGTGGTGAAGATGCGAGGATCGAAGGGTTGTCTGTAAGTGCTGCCAATGCGAAACCCGCGGTTTCAAGGCACTTCGCGATTCTTGTATGCGTGTCGCAAGCTCGTCGTTAGAGCCCTTTACGCAAAAACGCTGGCCGCGAAATGGTAGGTGAGGTTGGAGATGCCAGATGTCCTTGGATTCGCTGGGCTGTTGCGGGCAGCTTATGTAAACCCCCGAGCTCCAGCTCCGCACCCACCTTACCCGACCACCCGTCCATATTGCACCCTACCTTTTAATTTCTGAAAGGGCAGTCTATGGATTCAAGATTACTGTACTACACGCTAGAAATGTCTCACCACGACCGAACATAGGCTTTGCTTGGGTCTCTCACTACGTGACTCCTCTCACGGCTTACCTTCACCGAAATCTACTCCGTATCAATACCATGGCTTCACAAACCAGCTTTCTCACGATCCAATCCGATAATCTGATCCCTATCCCTCTCCCTCTCCCTCTCAACCTGATCGTTCAGCTTTTCCTTCTCTCTCCTTGTCCTATCGTCTCAAATCACAGCACAACAGCGATCATACTCCAATGCGAACGGCCAGCACTTAAACTATCATCGCTTCACTCCTAACCGACTGCGCCAACTCGACTTCGATACTCGCGGATCGTAACTGTCGTGAAGGAACCCATACGGTGCCCGTTGTCGTGCAATTATCACCTACTACGACCTGAAACTTCATTAAGTCTCATGCAAACGTAGCATCTTCAAAGCTCGACATCGGAATAGAGCATTTGCTCATATCCAACAATTCGCTGATTCGGTAAGCACGCCTATTAGATCCAGAAGGCGCAATACCCGTATGGCCTCCGCCGAACGATAGGTAAGCTACATAACATAAGGTCTTCGAATCAAATAATATGCATTTCACGATCGGGTCCTTCGTTCTATACCGCCAGTCCGGATCGACGTTACCATTATGGCCGGCACTATTATGCCCAGACGACTTCGCCCCACAGGAGTGCCTAAATACCGATCCTCGCACACACGTGCACTTGATCTTGATCGTTGGGGATAAGTTGACGTTGTAAGTATGATTAAATGCATTCGTCGAATGTGTGCTAACAATAATAGTCGTTGGGCTCTAAGAAGCGAGATACATCACTACGATCCGTTCATCCCGTTCAGTGATGAGGAGACAGTGGGAAACACTCCTGGTCTTGGTGAAGCATATGCCATGAGCAACACCGCGATTGAAGATGGGTTGGGCCTTGAACACTGGAGACGGCGCATAAGGAACGAAGTGTTAGCTTCCTCCTCAGATTCGGAAGTATTTTACGCGGAACCATGCTCCGATTCAAGCGTAGGCTTCGATGACACCGACATGCAAATGGCAATCGAACGGAGTCGTCTAGATTTCGAAAGGGTAAGCAAGCCAAAGCTTTTGACGCCTTCCCCAACCCCGCCAAAGGCTCTCAAAGGGGCCAGCAAAGTGTTCATCACAGTAGACTCTGATTCAGACAACGATGATGACAACGATGTGCGCCGCCAACCGTCACGTACACTGTACCGCCCTGCCTTTAGCACCTTACGACGTCCAGCCACCCCTACCAGGAAAGATCCAAGGAAACCCGCACGAGACGTGCCCTTCAAACCATCTTCCTCTCTGGAAGGATTCCTCGGACCCAGAAGTCAGTCCAGTCTCACTGTACCAGCAGTGCCAGAAAGCTGCCAAGCCTTGCTATTCGCGCCAAAAGTCTTCGCAGATGGGCTCAACCTCAAGAGACTGAGCAAGGCTTCAAATGCCCCAAGAAGCGATATAGTCGTAGGCGATATGTAAGTCACTGAGTCTGTTGCAAATTAAATCAACCTAATGATCATAGTGAAGCAAGTAAAACGCATGTACGAGTGAGAGTAGGACAGGATCAAGAGCAACACTTGCTAGTCAAAGCTCGCGTGTGGGACAGACCGTACTTTAGGGAGGCCAACGCTGGTATCATGTATTTCAGCATGGATGATGACGACATGTTCGAACTAAAGCATCCTGGCCTCGCAAACGTCGTTCCTGACGACTTCGCGTACATTGCTGAATATCTCGAAAGTGACCAATTCGGCCATGTGAATCCACAGGGCGTTGACCAAGAGAATGAGGCCTTTTCCCAGATCGTAGCTGCTTGGACGGTAGCAGAGCAGCTTGGGATGACGGACCTGATGGATCATATCATTGACAAGCTCGAACGGCTGGCACCATGGGACCTATGGCATGTAATGCTATTTGCATGTACTGTCTATGGATCCTCCGGCCTGTTGCTTCCTGTCCAGGACAGGATTAAAGAGGTTCTAGCTCGGAATATCGCCGAAAACTACTTCGTCTTTATTGAGGACGATCACCTGAGCGTCGACTTCATCCAACGATTGAAAGACCTACCAGAGCTAGACAGAGATGTAACTGTTGAAAGGGCAGCGATATTGGATGGCCGCCTGCGTCAAGACTTGGACCGGGCGGATGGTCGGAGGTGAGGGTGAGAAGGACTACGAGGGATGAAGTAGCATCATTCTAGCCGGCGAGCTGAGACAGGAAATTACCATACAGCAGGAAGGTAGTATATACCATCAACCTGAAGCAATGGAGTTTCCCCATAGTTGTATTGGAGTATCTCATTGAGTATGCTAACATGTGGTATATGGTTAGTCAATAACATTGCATATTCAGATGCAGATTACACGTCACCACAGTCCCTTGATCTGCGAGACCCGCTGCGTCGGTTCAAACACCTCGGTATTCTCAGTTGTGTTCGCTCGTGATGTTGTTCCGCTATCTCGGAATGTTGGAAAGGCGGATACATCATGGTTCGCACTCGCATCCCAACCTAACGTTTCCTCTTTCTCGTAGTCAACAGGAGCCCATGCCTCTTCCTCCTCCTCCTCCTCCTCTTCTCGCCTTCTAACATCATCATCATCATCATCATCATCATCGGGTATGAAGAGGCTTTCGGGATCCTGTTGTGCTGTCGTTGCTTGTGCCGTCGTCGAGCTCTGTCTTGAACCCGGGTTTCGTAAACGTCCTACGCGATCGCGCCGTGATACAGGCTCCATTGGTGGCGGCATACCAGACCGTATGCTTCGATTTTCTGTACGCTCTGTTGCTGTCGAGGTAGCTCGCGATGTTTGTCTGTTGTTGTGCGGCTGTGGAGCGGGTGTAGGCAGTGGTGGAGCTGCGCTGATGTCACCAGAAGTCATCATAGTGAACTCGCAAAGTAAGCCATCGTATCCGTAACTAAACTGCATGGGTCGTGTCGGCTGCGAATAGTATGCCTTCAAGCTGGTCTTGAGCGTATCTGCGTGCACGACAATAGCCTTAAAGTCCCTCACGCTGATGATGATGTGCAGTCCGGCCTGCACACTGAACTCATTAAAGTCAGACGTATTGACCGCTACTGCTGTAACTAGCGGATGCTTTAAGATCTCCTTGCCGTTCGAGATCTTCTCTGTGTAGCTCTTGAAGACACATCTGTCATCTTCGCCTGCAAAGATGTCAAGCATCTCGGTCTTTGTGCCAAAGTATTCGATGTACTCCTTGACTGCGCCAGAATGCATGCTCCAATGGTTCGGTGCCACGCTTCTGTCGAAAAGTGCATGTAGGACTTCAGCGGACTCGTATGTGAGCTTGTAGGTCTTGATGATGCCCTGATTGCACACCATCTGCACGATGAAACGACATTGCGCTTCCGTCTCTCGCTCCTGTACACTGACCTCACATCGATCGATTGCACCTTCTCTTCCTAGTGGATCAAACAAGCGGCCCCTGAAGACAGACAGAAGTGCTTTCGTATACATACTGCACGAGAAGCGTCCATCTGGGCCCCCAGTGCTTGGCACGCATTCATAGCTCTGAAAAAAGTGCGTACTGTCGAGTGCGATAGCAGCATATGTAGTTTTTGATGGATTAAGAGCCGTGAATGTAAGCTGAGACAAGTTTGGTCAGACAATGCAGCGACTCCAAAGCGTAAACCGA